TGTAAAAAAGAAGAAAAAAGCATGGTTAGACTACTTGGCCTCTAGTAACGATGAGCATATGAGAGAGAAGATGAAAGAAAGATATAAGCTGCAGAAAGTTCATGCGAAAACATTGATTGAGGAAGTACGTGAAAGGTGTAGAATAGAAGCGGACGAGAGGTTGTCGCACAACTTTAGGGAAAACTCCAAACTCTTCTGGAAAGAGGTTGGAAGGTCCCGGAGTGGTGCGACAGCCTTAAGAATGAACAAAGTGCTTTCGAGAACCAATGACGTCCTCTCAGAAAAATCGGACGTCATGCAGCGATGGAGTGAATTTTATAGAGAAATGTATGCGTGTCATGATCTTAGTGAAGGATCCGGGGGTGACGCCGTGACTGGCACGCCAGACACGGACCTCGATGACACTGAGGTCATCAGCATGAAAGAGATTGAACGTGCGATTCGAAGTTTGAAATGTGGTAAGGCTGCGGGACTAGACAGAGTTACTGCTGAAATGGTCAAGTACGGTGGGCCTCGCGTCTGGGACAGCTTCCATCTGCTGTGCAATTTGTGCTGGCGGACGGGAGATGTCCCGGATGATTGGCGATCCGCGGTCATTGTGCCTTTATATAAAGGTAAAGGTTCACATTTTGACTGCGGGTGCTATCGGGCGATCAGCTTGACCAGTTTAGCAAGTAAAGTTTACTCGAAGGTTTTGACACGTAGGATGCAAGAGAAATCGGAAAGATTCTTATGGGAGGCACAATGCGGATTTAGACCTGGAAGAGGATGCACGGATCAAATGTTTTCTCTCCGCATGATCACGGAGAAGCTTCTGAGTGTTAACCAGAGGATTTTCTGTGCTTTTGTGGATCTGGAGAAAGCATTTGATAAGGTTATAAGGAAGAAAATGTGGGAACTGTTGCCGGGATATGGTGTGGATGGTCGATTGTTAAGGGCTGTGCAGTCACTTTACTATGACTGTAAAGCCTGTGTGCGGGTAGGGCATGACCTGTCACCCATGTTTAGCGTCCAAGCGGGCGTAAAACAGGGTTGTGTCATGTCTTCCTGGCTGTTCATACTGTATCTCGACAGCTGTTTACAGAAGCTGAAAAATAGCTGTTTGGGTGTGAAATTGGGTGACATAAAAGTTAATTGTCTGCTGTATGCTGATGATGCAGTGCTTATTGCACCATCAGAAGCAGAACTGCAGGCATTAGTCATGTGTATGAAAGAGGAATGTGAAATTAAAGGTCTCCGTTTGAATGCTAATAAAACTAAGGTTCTGGTATTTGAAAAGGACGAAGAGAGAACGAAATGTGAAATATGGGTAAATCAGGAATGTCTAGAACAGGTAAATGAAATTGTATACTTGGGGAGTGCTTTCAGCCGGGATGGAAGATGTGATTTAGATGTGGATAGGCGTGTCGCTGCCGGAAACAAAGTCAATGGTGCCCTGAATGCATTAGTAAAAAGGCAAGGCGTGGTGAAGAGTGCACGCCTTGCAATACATAACGCAGTGTTGGTACCGACTTTGTTATATGGCAGCGAAACCTGGGTATGCCAGAAGAAGCATAAAAGCAAGTTGAATGCAGTGGAGATGCGATCTCTTCGTAAAATGTGTGGCGTTACCATAGCCGACCGAAAGCGAAACGAAGAGATTCGCAATATGGCAGGATTGAAAGATGACCTTATCACAAAAATTGATAGGGGCGTACTCCAATGGTTTGGGCACGTTGAACGAATGAGTGAAGATCGAATGGTGAAGAAAATATATAGAGCGAAAGTAAATATTAAAAGGTGTCGAGGTAGACCGAGACTAACTTTCGAAGACCATGTGAGCAAATTGCTCGAAGAGGGGAGGGTCAAGAGTACTCGGATACCTAGACGTTCATGTATGAAGAAGTTAATGAACCTGAAAGAAGCGAAAGAGGTATGTAAGGATCGTGACACTTGGCGATCTGTTCTCTCTGGCTACCCCGTTAGGGATTGTGCGTGAAGATAAGTAAGTAAGTAAGTAAGTTAACATATAGGTTAATATACGTGTCATTTTATGGATGCTAGAATATTTGTGCATACCTTGCAAAACGTCGTTTACTGGACGAGCTGCAGATCCTACATTGGAAGAGATCGCTGCGCTGGACCAGATCTCAGGTAAATCTGATGGTAACTCTATAGATTGATTAAACATATACTTACTGCCATATAAAAATCGAGGCCCTTGCCACCACATATCGCAAGCACTAAGCTCTTGCGGACTGACACCCCTGCTTATGTAGTCGGCGGGGTTGTCTTTGGTGTTTACATATAGCCATCGGCAGTCAGCAGTTTTACTGGTTATGGCTTTCACTCTGTTCGCCACATAAGCCGTCAACCTTATCGCTTCCGACCGTAACCAAGCCAGCACTATTTGGGAATCAGTGAATAAGTAAACTTGATTTATTTTTAATTTTAATTTAAGTGTGTTTGAAACTTTTGCAATCAAAATAGACAAAAGTAGTGCAGCATTTAATTCTAAACGTGGCACGGTAAGGTTTTTATTCTGAATCGGGTTTATACGGAATTTCGAACAGAGTAGATGCATTTGTACTTTACCTTTGTTATTAGTGACGCGTAGGTACACACTGCAGCCATATGCAGTCGAACTTGACGCATCAGAGAAGCCTATGAGTTTGACTGTGTCTGAACCAGATAGCTGAATATTTCTACCTATATAAATCGGATTCATTTCTGCAAGACTATTTAAAAATCCTAACCACTCTGATTTGATATTTTTGGGAGGTGCGGCGTCTCATTCAGTCTTGGAGGACCATAATTTTTTCACAATAGTCTTGGCCTGTACGACGATAGGACCTACAAAACCCATAGGGTCATAGAACTTTCCTATGTAAGCCAATATTTCCCTTTTGGTAATGTTTTTTGCATCAAAAAATTCTGGACTTGTTATTTTAAACTTATCCTGAAGAACCACTAATTGCAAACCTAAAGTTTTTATACTACAATCGTCGTTTTGAAATTCTAAATCTTCAAAAAAAGATGTCAGAAAGAGCTGTCGCTCAGCCGAAGGAACATCTTCTAATATTCGACTGTCATTTGATGACCATTTATGTGTCTCGAAATTGCCCATCTGGAGAAGCTGCTGAACCTGTGATTTTGCTTCCAAAATCAAATCTAAGTTACTATCTGAATAAAGTACATCATCTACATAGGTGCAATTGTTTAAAATGAACGATGCCAAAGGCATTTCGCGTTCCTTTTGTATCGCGAGCTCCTTTAAACAACGCGTAGCTAAATAGCTTGAGCTTTTTAGCCCATAGGTTACTGTATCTAGCCTGATGCACTTTATTGTTTCGTCAGGGCTGTCTCTCCAAAGAATATTCTGTAAGGAGGTATGCTCAGGTGTTACGCGGACATTTCGGAACATTTGTTTTAAGTCAGTAGTGAATGTATAGTCACCAAAACGGAATAAGAGTAATATATCAAAAAGATCTCTCTGTACTGTCGGTCCGTTTAGCAGCAAATCGTCAAGCGATACTTTCTTACTGGTCTTCATCGATGCGTCGAAAACTTTACGCAATTTAGTAGTCTTACTGTCGGGTTTGAGTACTGCATGATGCGGCAGAAAGTACACTGCGTTCTTACAAGGTTGATAGTTCCCGACGTCAACCAAGTGCCCGTGATTTAAATTTAAATAATCGTGTATAAATTTCTGATATTCTAGGAAAAGATTGTGATCTTTGTGCAATTTCTTTTCGAGGTTTAAAAATCTTTTTTAACGCGAAATGAAATGAGTTTCCTAGCGCATCGTTTACATCATCAAGTGGCAATTTCAAAGGCAAAGCAACCTCAAAGCAATTATCCTTCAACTGAACAGTCCTTTGAAAGATTTGCTCACAAAGATCTTGCTCTGAAGAACTTTCATTATAAATTTCAGGAACGGACTCGGTTTTCCAGAAATTTTGAATTAAATTAGACTCACATTTTAACGTGTATTTTAACACTGCTACCTGATTGCAGACATTTGTAGGCAAGCTTCCCCCGATTATGTAGCCGAACTGTGTGTTGATAAGTTGTGGATGCCGTAAACCTAGCGTCGAAGGCTGCACCTCACTAAGCGGCTCTGCAGGCCCGTAGCTCGTCGACTCTGGTGGCAGCAATGCCTGGAAAAAACAGTCAGCTCCCATTAGCAAATCGATTTGACTGGGGATATTAAAATCTTTATCTGCTAGCCTAATATTTGATGGAATCGCAAATCTGATAGATCTAATTTTTTCTGTGGTAGCTCACATGTGATATTCTCAACTACATGGCAAGTAGTCGCTAATTTGAATGGTTTGACTAATGAATGTATTTCCACTGGTACACTGTACTTCACGCTGGCTTGAGTATTGACTATCCCTACTATGTTAATATTACTCCGCAGGGGCTTTTAAATCCAGCAGCTGGACGGCCCTTTGAGAAATAAAGGACAGCTGTGACCCACTGTCTAGTAGGGCTTTGAAAGTCATCTCCGTGCCATTTCGAGCGAGAAGCTTTACTTGAGTTGGGGGTAAATGTACATTATTAGTTAACCCATTAGTGGCCAAAATCAAATAAAAAACGTTTTTAACGAAAAATGTTTATTTTGTTAATCTAGGCAGGATTAGCAAACATAAAATGAAACAAAAAGTTTTTTTCAATTATTTTTTTATACTTTTTCAGGGGTGTACTTGTTTGAGTACAGCGGCCACTTATGTGTGAAATTTTTCGAAGCATGACTTTTCAACGCAGAGTGTTTTCATGGTCTCGCTCTTTTGAGAGTTTCTTGTCGCAAATAGTATCTGGCAAGACTACGTAGAAATAAGAGTTGATCCATAGGGTCATCCCTGCTCATAACATGTAAACGCCAAGCGTTTGAAACGGTCATGTCCAACAAGTATGTAAATAAAACCCACCACCACTTTTTATCATGAATCCCGATCTTGTACAATGATATGGACTGATCAAGCTCATCAACTCCACCCATACCTTTATTGTAGTTTTCAAATAAAAGCGGAATCTTTACATCGGTTGTCTGTCATTTCTGGGCACCATCTTTTTACCGTGCCCATTGGTTCAAAGTAATCATAGTTAGTAGCCATCGTGCAGAGACTATTGTCTTTCCATCTGATTAACAACAGTTCATTATTTTTATCGAATCTGTAATCAAAAGCAGCTCTCTCTTTCTTCTTCATCTCCTTAGTGGCTGTCAATGGGCACTTTTTACTGCGATTCTCACGAACTGTTCCAGTAGCGCAGTAACCCAGATTGTGCAAATCAATCAAAAGATTACAGTTTGTAAAAAGTTGTCAAAATACTTTATGATTTTTTTTGGTCGGTATCTAATTTTGACAACAGAGACTTCACAACTCTGGTTCCCAAAGGTTCATCAGAAGTATCAAGTGATTTTCCACAGTAAAAATCAAATGTGTAGCAGTACCCAGTGGAACTTGCAGCACGCAAAACGCACTGGTTTGCCTCGTATAAATTGCTTACTGGGGTGGTGTCCATAATATTTGACCATCGACTCGCCAATTGAAATATTTTCATGAAATACGCCCCACTGATTGAATTTGGTCATCATTATGTCGGCTAGGGATCTAATTTTGAACATTTTATCTCTGAAATTTGATGTTTCATCATTATTCACAAGATGAAGATATCTTTTTATTTCACGAAATTTATTCCTCGACATAGCTCTTGAAACTAGCGCAACTCCGACGTCCTCATCCAGAGACCAATATAATGTTTTCCGAGGCAATTTGTGATATCCCGACAAAATCAAAATACCAATGAATTTTTTTAGGTCTGGTAAATCAAGTTGAAAAGAGTGTCTATTGTTTTGATTAGCGTACAAAATACTATTAGATAACATAAGCTGTAATCCTTCTGCATCCAAAATTATTTCAAAAATCTGTACAGAATTTTGGTCTTTTAGCTGTTCCTTTATAGCATTCTGTTTATCTTGCACCACAGACGTATGCTGATGGCCAAAAGTATAGAATGGTGAACATTTTCTCCAGGCTGGAGTTTTCTGCCGCTGCTGAATATTAGCCTGCCAACGAACTCGTTTTGCGGTCAATGGTTCTTCGTCACTGGAATCATAGTCGCTCGACAAAGTACCTTCATCAAGCACCATAACCTCAATATTTCCGGGCACATCTCGTGGCAAAGTATACGTCACCATAATATCTTGATCAGACCCTTCCTCTTCGTCAGTTACGACACTGGGATCAGGTGGTATTATCGCCAAATCGTATTCCCGGTCATCATCACTATCTGTTGTGACTGCTTCAATTGCTTCCTCAAGTCCTATAAAGCTATTTGTACCGGAAAAAATCTTGCGACTCATTGTTGATAAACTGAAACAAAGTTGTATTTTTTATTTATTGAAGTGACCAGTGTACTCAACTGAGTACATCACTAAAAATCTTCATCTATAGTTCGTAATAAACAATAATTGTTTCAAATTTGCAACTCACATTATAGAATTCACTGTATCTTATCACAATTATTACTAAAAACAACATTTACACAAATAATAATAATAAAATATAATAAAAATAATACTCACTTGCACGCTAGTCCAATAACATGAAATCGGGTTACTCCAAATGACACATATTTTAGAAATACCCTCCATTTGCACAACTCAAAAAATTATGCGTCTACCCTCTATTTAATTTATTAAAATAAAAAATAACAAACCCTCACAGATTTAGTCTATTAATTTTTAAGCAACCGTACTCGTTTGAGTACAGCGACAGAGAATGGGTTAATAAATTATTCGCCGCCAATGAGGCGGGAGTTGCGGCGGCCTGCTGATTACTCACCTTATCATTATCGCAGTGTAACAGAGTATGATGCCTTTGTTTGCATTCTTTACAGCGAAAGTGAAATCTGCATTTTCCTGCATGGGCACCTAAACATAGATGGCATATTTTCTTTTCATCTGCAAACTGTAACCTTTTATTAGCAGGCAATAACTGAAAGCTTTGACACAAGTATAACTTATGATTGGACTTACAGAATAGACATGAAGCTTCCTGCGCTGCAGTGTAGGCTGCCAGTTTGCCCGTGGATGAGCCTGGACGCTGTTCCTTTACTTCTTTGTGCTGCTGTTGTAGCTAACCATGGGCCGGCTCAGCATTGTCCAATGCCAGAGCACGCTTTTCTACGAAGCTGAGAAAGTCCTCCACGGTGGAGTCTGACTTGGTGTCCCTCTCAAACTGGTACGCCCTCGATGTGTATAAATCTAGTTTTCGGCAAAGTACACACAAAATTATAGCATCCCAATATCTAACGTTTGGATCTAAATTGGTCAAGGCATCAAGTTCCTGTTTAACATTTGAAACAAATTCTCTTAAATTGTTTGCTGTTGACTTTGTTAAGGGTTTCAGGTCCAAAATGGAGATTATATGCTCATTAATAATTTTAAATCTATTATTGTACCTGTCGTTTAACAGTGCGAGTGCTTTTACATAACTTTCTTGCATTAAAGGTAAGTTTTTTATTAAATTCAGGGGTTCATCCCTGAGATATGCACGCAAATAATACAGTTTTTGTACACAACCTATTGAATCATTATCATCTATAACAGAGTTGAAAAGATTTATGAAAGGTACGTATTCTGTGAACTTACCACTAAATATCGGTACATTAATGGGTGGTAATTTCAACTTAGAAATTGGAGCAGACGTCGGCGTAGGTCTTTGATTGTTTTGTTTCGCGCTTTTTTATCTCTGCATTAAGTAAAGCTAAGATGTGGAAATAGTGCTCCTCTACAACGGAGACATCTTCTTTATCTTGCTCATTCAAGCCTAAAATTTTTAAATTATACCTTTCGTATTCGGAAAATAATTCTAAAGCACGGGTTTTTTTTACTAATAGCGCTTCGCTTGAAAAATTTGCTACATTTTCATCATTGCAAACAAAGTTAAAAAGTCTGGTTAAATTACCTTTAGTATATACTCTAGCCGAAACCAATTCCGACAGCTCCATTCTCTAGTAATTTTTCACAATATATCGCTAGAACACAGTAGAAACGACGATTGCTAATGCTCTACGTGAATTACACAATTATCACTAAAAAATGTCACTGTTCTTGACAATTATTATAACGTAAACTTGTTTTGACGCCTTTTGATTTATTTATTTATAGAATCCAACGAGAAACTGGAAAGGTAGGCAGGCAGGCGATTTCGCGAAGTGTAGTACAACACGTACAAATTAACTTGAGACTCCGCTGGAATGCGACCCCCTTCCCGACTCCCCGCACCGCGTCCCGCGCTGGCCGTGCGCGCTCAGTACCGATAGCATTTTTGTTACGGATACGCGTCTCGACTCTAGTTCGATATTTTTGATAATTGTTTGTTGTTTGGTTTGGACTTTTGAAGAGAGAATTAATTATATCCCTCGGAGGGGAAGAATCCAGCTCAGAGAGTGAAAGTGAGGGCGATCTAATGGACGGAATAGAACCGATCGTATACAGTGACAATGAATAATAAATATTATAATAAATCCTTATTAATATTCCTTACTTCTATTCCTTGATTTTACATAGTTTGTGCTGTTCCGCTTATCCAAGATTGATTCACTTTCACCCTAAGGTTGCCTGGGAGAGATTGCTTTTTAGCAATAAGGTCGCCTGTTATGCTTTGTATTTTTATTGTGTACGAATCTGTAACACTTTTTATAGTGCAATAAAGTGAATAATAAATAAATTAATAATATTATAAATGAGAAAGTGTGTATGTTTATTTCTTTGTCCTTCCTTGACGCGTTAACTAAAAATAATATTATATATATTATAAAAAATAAATATTTAAAATATATAAAAATGGCAACAGTATATCACTTATTACTTCACCCCTTGCCAGAACATTTTATTTTGTTTTTATTAATAATCTCATGCAAATCTCAAAAATTTCAAATAAAAAAATATTACGACGCATTATTTTGCACACCGTACATTGACAATTACGTCATCGGCCCAGGTCTCAAGTTAATTCGTACGAGTTATAGTTACATAGGCCGTACATTGGCCGACATACACCGACAACACGTTAAGGTAGCTATGACTTACACCGACACCGAACACCGCACTTATTAAACTTTGGCCGACACACTTCCCCGACACGCCGACATGAAATTGCGCGAACGCACACTCTGCCGCCTCGAACTACCTGGTAGATATTTTGGCAGGCTTTTTACGCCGAAACGCTGTCCTTCTTCTTACATCGTGAAGAATTATCTGGCCAGCATCCCTGGAATACGTGTCCACGTCGATGCCGTAGCCACACTTTCGCCGAGACTAAATTGCGTGCTCGCCGACACACTGCCGTCTTCAACCACGTACTCTTTACGCCGAATCGCTGTCCCTCTTCTTAGATCGCGAGGAATTATCTGGCCAGCATCCCCGGAGTATGCACTCACGTCGATACCGTAGCCGAATTAATAGAATTGCAGCCACTGTCTGGTACTCGACGATGCTGAGGTTGAGAAAAAAAATGGCGGGCCGTTTGTTGAGAACGATGCTGCCACTTCAATCTGGCGAATTTCTTGTATTTCACACGTCTCACGTTGGATCCTTACTTCTCGAAGGACCAATGTTGCGCTGGTTATTGCATATTAAACGATATTTGGTTGTATGAAATAAAAACGAAAAATCTTGAGAGCGATGTAATCGTGAGAAACTTTGGGAACCCAGTGATGCCACACGGCTCATATATTTTACATGAAATCTTAGTGTTGCTACATAAAAACAAATGTTGCCATACGGCATAATTATATCTTAATGTTGCTACATAAACGCAACACATAGAACATTAGGGTTTTGTATTTAGAGGGGCGCCACTGTGAGATCTCGCACCACCTAAAACTTTTGCTAGGGCTGCCAGTTTTAAGTAAAAATAAGTTAAGTAAATATATAATATAAATAATAATATAAAGATGTTTAAAAACTTACACACAATATGTTGACGAGTCAAATTGCGAATTTTTTGAGAGATTTTGATTGCAACTTGAGCCAGACAAAATAAGTTGAGGCTTATTGAACAAAGCCATTCATACGGATTTTATCGCGTTTAATTAAGTTATATTTTCAACTTAAGGCTTAGATCATCATCGGAGCACCTGTTTCATCATTTCTACTAATGGTTCACTAACGCAGATATTTATACACAAATTTATCACTACTTTACTTATCAGAATCCACTTCTAAACATTTATTTAAATAATGGTACAAAAGCAGCAATCCCGGCAACCAGGTTCCCGACGAAACTTCTAGTAATATTTTCGTACTAAATAAAATTATTTTACAGTTTGTAATATCTGAATAATCGCACTTTATATCACCCACGCTCACGGGACACTGATGAGTTTGACGTCCTGATGATATCATAGACCACGAAGCCTAGTTTTATGGTTATGGTTAAGGATATTTATCCTCAAAAGAAAAATACATTTCATTTATTGAGAAGTTACAATATTCAAGTTAATAATGGGTTTTGAGCATACAGATTGCAAATATATATATATATATATAATCGGAATCTCGGAAACGGCTCCAACGATTTTCATAAAATTTTGTGTGCAGGGAGTTTCGGGGGCAATAAATCGATCTAGCTAAAATTTATTTTTAGAAAATGTCTTTTTGTCCGTGTTTTTAGGCAATGAAAAACTGCTATAATATCGTTAGAATAAGAAGGTAAATTTTGACAATTTATTAATGATTACAAGTAGCTTAATTGGTATATTGGGCGGTTACAAAATCGTAATACTATGATTCACGCCCCGACCGACCGACTTTTTTTAATTTTTTTTTCAAGTTCCTTTCTTTTTTTGAGAAAATCTATGTTTTCGAGCCCTTTTTTTAGTATTTTTTAAAAACTCGAAAATTTAAATTAAACTAATTGCACTCATGATTTTTTATTCAAATAACCAGTTCAGTTTTTTCTATTATTTCGCTAAGATCAAAAAATATTATTCGTATTTCATCAGTATGTAATTTGTATCTAAATATTATTTCCAAAACACACGAATTAAAAAACCGAGCGAAAAATACCGAGCAAAGCTCGTTGGTCAACCGGGTACTATATATATATATATATATATATATATATATATATATATATATATATATATATATAGAATAACATTAAAAGGAAGGAAAGAGTTTCGTGACATACAACTTCTTATTAGTTTAGGCATATAACTAAGTCTTATAGTAAGTCAAATTCTAATTTCGCCCCCACTTCCCCGCGCGTCGTATGCTATGTACCGACATGTTTGTAATCACTAATACTGTAAGTAGATAGGTCGTTAGAAACTTATTTCATTAGGTTTATCATA